GGGATTTGGAGTCTTAACCATTCTCCAGTGAGCTTCCTAACGTTTCTTTAGAGACGATGGGATTTGGAGTGTTACCTATTTCCCTTTGAAGGGATGATGGGATTTGGAGTCTTAACCATTCTCCAGTGAGCTTCCTAAAGGTTTCTTTAGAGACGATGGGATTTGGAGTGTTACCTGTTCTCTGCCTAAAAGGGACGATGGCATTTAGAGTGTTGTTTGTTACGGGATCACATTACCCATTATCCACTGAAAACATGTTCAACCTTTTTGTAAAGACGGTATTGAGGATGATGGGATTTGGAGTGTTACCTATTCTCTGCCCAAAACATATGAAACTTTTAATGGGATGATGGCATTTAGAGTGTTGTTTGTTACGGGATCACATTACCCATTATCCACTGAAAACATGTTCCACCTTATATAGGGTTTTTTGTAAAGACGGTATTGGGGATGATGGGATTTGGAGTGTTACCTATTCTCTGCCCAAAACATATGAAACTTTTAATGGGATGATGGCATTTAGAGTGTTGTTTGTTACGGGATCACATTACCCATTATCCACTGAAAACATGTTCCACCTTATATAGGGTTTTTTGTAAAGACGGTATTGGGGATGATGGGATTTGGAGTGTTACCTATTCTCTGCCCAAAACATATGAAACTTTTAATGGGATGATGGCATTTAGAGTGTTGTTTGTTACGGGATCACATTACCCATTATCCACTGAAAACATGTAGGGTTTTTTGTAAAGACGGTATTGGGGATGATGGGATTTAGAGTGCTAACCCATTCCCTGCTGAAAATGTGGGGATTTTTCAGAAGGAAGATGGGATTTGGAGTGTTGCTTTGCTGGAAAACACGTCCATTATAATGAGGTTGAACATGTTTTCAGTGGATAATGGGTAATGTGAGAAATGTAAGAAAATGTAATGTAAGAAAAGCTAAAAAACTGATGCAACGAAGGGAGGAAAAATGGGGAAAAAACACAGAAAAACCCATTGCGAAACCCTGCAAGAAGGTCTTGAATGCGAGCGAGCCAACGAACGAACGAACGAACGAACAAGGGCCGGCTTGTTTTTCGAGCAGAAAACATTCTCGAGGAGGAAAAAATACGAAATGCGGTTCGCTCCAGGAAGTCGGGTTGGAGTAAACAGGAAGAGACCGGCTTTTTGGGGGGACCGAGCGCGGAAAACCACCGCCTTTGCAAATATGTTCCTCTATATCGCTCTATCTTTTTCTGTATGTACAAAGAACACGCAGATTTGCATTTCTGAACCAACCGCCGGCTTTCCAGAAACCGGTCCGGTTTCATTTTCCGGGAAATTGCCTTCCCAATGTGTATTCAGGCTTTTTTGTACACAGAAAAGATTGGCATCTACACTGCGGAATTAATGCAGTTCTGTACCACTTTGAATTGCAGTGTCGCAATAGGATGGAATCCTGGGAGTTGTAGTTTAACTATTCACTTGGGGAAAAAGTGGGGTATAAATGATAATAATAATAATAATAATAATAATAATAATAATAATAATAATAATATAGTAAATTCAATAACAAACATAATAAACATAATATTATAAATATAATAATAATAATAAATGCAATAAGAAATATAATAATAATATAGTAAATACAATAGCATAATAATATTATAAATATAATAAATGCAATAAGAAATATAATGGGAAATATAATAATAATAATAATAATATAGTAAATTCAATAACAAACATAATAAACATAATATTATAAATATAATAATAATAATAATAATAATATAGTAAATTCAATAACAAACATAATAAACATAATAATATTATAAATATAATAAGAAATGCAATAAGAAATATAATGGGAAATATAATAATAATAATAATAATAATAATAAAGTAAATACAATAACAATCATAACATAATATTATATATATATATAATAATAAGAAATACAATAAGAAATATAATGGGAAATATACAAATAAGCATAATATTAATATAGTAAATTCAATAACAAACATAACATAATAATATTATAAATATTATAATAATAAATGCAATAAAATATAATATATAAATAAGCATAAATTAAAATAATGAATATAATAAATATAAATACATTAACAAATATAATAAACATATTATAAATATTATAATAATAAATGTAAGAATAATAAATATTACAAATATAATAAATATAAAAATAAGCATAATATTAAAAATAATGAATATAATAAATATAAAAAGCTTAATAAAAAGCTTATAGAAAAATAACAAATAGAATAATAGTAATAATAGTAATTTTAATAATAATTGCAGTTTGAGGACCACTGCACTGCATGAAAAGGGATCCTAGGAGTTGTAGTTCTACTAAGGGCACACCAGTAATTATAATAATTATATATATAATAATAAATATAACAATAAATATAATAATAAATATAATAATTTAATAATAATAAATATAATAACAAATATGATAAATAAGTTTAATAAAAATAATGAATATAATAATATAATAAACTTAATAATATATAGAATCATAAATAGAATAACATTAACAATAATAATAGCAGTTTGAGGACCACCGAACTACATGAAAAAGGATCCTGGGAGTTGTAGTTCTACTGAGGGAGCGCCTAAACTGCAAAAAAGGAATGCAGTTTGACAGCACTGTAACGGTATGGGATTCCTGAGAGTTGTAGTTCTGACAAACTGCATTTATGCTATAGGCATGCCCTTAGTGAAACTACAACTCCCAAGATCCATTGAGCTAGGGCAGTTTAAAGTGGCGTCAAACGGCATTCATTCCATAAATGTAGACGGACCCCAGGCCCCAAAAGCTGCTAAAATGAACCAGGGCAATCAACCAGGTTCCTTTGGAAAACTACAGTTCCCATAATCGCCGAGTCTAAAGGAATCGTATTTGACTTTACAGATCACAGCCAAAGTTACTTTCTTGGACAGCAGTTCCCAGAATCCCCGGCAATGTTGATATACAGAAGGCTAACCTCCTTCCTTGAACAACCAAGACTAAAGAAACCCAACCTCAACCGGCTTCTGGAAATTCTAGTTTTCAAAGTATTGCAACTGAATGGAAATAAATGGAAAGATAGACCTGGAAGTGAAAGAAAGTTGGGAGGAAAAAAACAAACTTTTCTTGGGGTGACAAACCCCAGAATCCACCTCTGTCTTGGGAATCTGGGATCTGTAGTTTTCTAAAGGAGTGTTTCTCTCCCTCCCACTCTAAAAAAACTCTCCTGGGAGTTGTAGTTTCAACTATCTTCACAAACAATTAGAAATACAGCAAAGATTCACACGTACACGCCATCAAAACCTTCGGGGGACCTTTTCCTTAGACTACAAACCCCAAAATCCTGGGCTACATAGGATTCTGGGAACTGTAATTAAAAGGGAAGTAATCTATGATAAATAAAAGGAAAAAGATCTGGAAGCAAGAAAAATGATTTTTTTTACGGGAAGGGAAAGGAAACCCTGTCTTGGACTCCAAGACCCATTATCCAGGCAGGAAATGGGGATGGAGGGATTTGTAGTCCAAGAAAGAGATGGGATTCTGATTATGGAAAGCTTTAGGGAGGGAAATAATCCTTTCCTTAGACTATGTAAACCCTTCCTTGGACTCTAAGCCCCGTAAGCTATGGCAGGAAATGAGAGTGATGGGATTTGTAGTCCGAGAAAGAGATGGGATTCTGAGAAGGGAAAGCTTTTTGGGAGGGAAATAATCCTTTCCTTGGACTACTGAAACCATTCCTTGGACTCCAAGTCCCATAATACATGGCAGGAAATTGAGATGCTGGGATTTGTAGTCCAAGAAAGAGATGGGATTCTGAATATGGAAAGCTTTTGAGAGGGAAATAATTCTTTCCTTGGACTACGTAAGTCTTCCCTGGACTCCAAGTCCTATAATCCACGGCAGGAAATGGGAGTGATGGGATTTGTAGTCTGAGAAACAGACGGGATTCTTAGGCTGGAAAGCTTTTTGGGGGGTGGGTGGGAATCCCTTTCTTTGACTTCTTTTTGGAGGGAAATAATCCTTTCCTTGGACTATGGAAACCCTTCACTGGACTCCAAGTCCCATAATACATGGCAGGAAATTGGTATGATGGGATTTGCAGTCCAAGAAAGAGTTGGGATTCTTGTGGATGGAAAGTTATGATGGGATTTGTAGTCCAAGAAAGAGTTGGGATTCTGTGGATGGAAAGATTTGGGGGGGAAGGAAATAATTCCTTTCTTGGACTATGGAAACCCTTAATTGGACTCCAAGTCCCATAATACATGGCAGGAAATGGTTATGATGGGATTTGTAGTCCAAGAAAGAGTTGGGATTCTGTGGATGGTAAGATTTGGGGAGGGGAAGGAAATAATCCCTTTCTTGGAGTACAGAAACCCTTTCCTGGACTCCAAGTCCCATAATCCATGGCAAGAAACTGGAATGATGGGATCTGTAGTCGAATAGAGAGATTATTCTGAGAATGGCAAACTTGGTAGGGGAAAATATATGAAATTCTGTGGATGGAAAGATTTGGGGGGGAGGAAATAATCCCTTTCTTGGAGTACAGAAACCCTTCCTTGGACTCCAAGTCCCATAACCCATGGCAAGAAACTGGAATGATGGGATCTGTAGTCGAATGGGGAGATTATTCTGAGAATGGCAAATTTAGTAGGGAAAAATATTTTAAAAAACATGATTCGGACTTTAAGATCCAGAATCCGGGTGGTATTATGGGATTTGTAGTCCAAAAAAGAAGATTTTTGGAGGAAAACAAACCTTTCCTGAAGACTCCAAGGAGGAATAAAGAGGAGGATGGGCCTCGGGCGGACTTTAAGACCTAGAATCCGGGGGGAATGGGAGATGATGGGATTTGTAGTCCAAAAAAGAGGATGGAAAGCTATTTTTGGAGGAAAACAAACCTTTCCTTGAGACTCCAAGGAGGAGTAAAGGGGAGGATGGGCCTTGGGGGTTGCAAGAAGGGAAAGCACTGACCTCGTAGAGGGTGTTGACGTCCAGAATGGAACTCATCCCGCTTTCGTCGCGCAACAGCTGTCCTGGGTAAGGGGGGGCGAGTGGTGGGTTCCAAGGCAGCCCCCTTTGCTTTTTCCCTGGGCTGGCTTCAATTGGGGCAACAGAGCAGGAGTCGGGTTATTTATCAAACCCGAATGGACTCCTCCCCCGAAAGGGAGGGAGGGAGGACAATGAGCTCATGGGGGAGCCTGCGCGTGTGGACACGCCCCCAATCCGGATTAAAGCCAGTTTGGTCATGGGAGGGGCCGGCAGGGAAAGGGAAGGAAGGAAGAGGCCCAGAGAGAGAGAGAGGGAGGCTGGGCTTCAGTGGCTTGGGAAACAAGCCTATGTTTTACTCCAGTCCACTTTGATTCCAATTGAATTCCTTTCTCTTGGGATTTGTAGTTCACCTACAATCAAAGAGCATTCTGAACCCCGCCAGCGATGGAATTGGACCAAACTTGGCACACAGAACTCCCATGATCAACAGAAAATACTGGAAGGGTTTGTGAGAATAGACCTTGGCATTTGGGAGTTGTAGTTGCTGGGATTTATAGTTCACCTACATTCAAAGAGCATTCTGAACTCTACCAATGATGGAATTGGACCAAACTTGGCACACAGAACTCCCATGACCAACGGAAAATACTGGAAGGGTTTGGTGGGCATTGACCTTGAGTTTGGAAGTTGTAGTTCGGGATTTATAGTTCTTCTACAATCAAAGAGCATTCTGAACTCCACCAATGATGGAATTGAACCAAACTTGGCACACAGAACTCCCATGACCAACAGAAAATACTGGAAGGTTTGGTGGGCATTGACCTTGAGTTTTGGAGTTGTAGTTCACCTACATCCAGAGAGCATGGTGGACTCAAACAATGATGGATCTGGACCAAACTTGGCACGGATACTCAATATGCCCAAATGTGAACACTGGTGGAGTTTGGGGAAAATAGACCTTGATATTTGGGAGTTGTAGTTGCTGGGATTTATAGTTCACTTACAATCAAAGAGCATTCTGAACCCCACCAAAGATGGAATTGGGCAAAACTTGGCACACAGAACTCCCATGACCAACAGAAAACACTGGAAGGGTTTGGTGGGCATTGAGCTTGAGTTTGGGAGTTGTAGTTCACCTACATCCAGAGTGTGGACTCAAACAATGAGGGATCTGGACCAAACTTGGCACGAATACTCAATATGCCCAAATGTGAACACTGGTGGAGTTTGGGGAAAATAGACCTTGATATTTGGGAGTTGTAGTTGCTGGGATTTATAGTTCACCTACAATCAAAGAGCATTCTGAACCCTACAAACAATGGAATTGAACCAAACTTGTCACACAAAACTCCCACAACCACAGAAAACACTGGAAGTTTTGGTGGGCATTGACCTTGAGTTTTGGGAGTTGTAGTTCACCTAAATCCAGAGAGCACTGCGGACTCAAACAATGATGGATCTGGACCAAACTTGGCACGAATACTCAATATGCCCAAATGTGAGCACTGGTGGAGTTTGGAGAAAAAATAGACCTTGGCATTTGGGAGTTGTAGTTGCTGGGATTTATAGTTCACCTACAATCAAAGAGCATTCTGAACCCCACCAATGATGGAACTGGACCAAACTTGGTACACAGAACTCCCATGACCAACAGAAAATACTGAGAGAGTTTGGTGGGGCATTGAACTTGAGTTTGGGAGTTGTAGTTCACCTACATCCAGAGTGTGCATTCAAACAAGAAGAGAGGCAGGGAAATGTCAGCGTGCTGGAAGAAGCAAAGACCACCAGCATTGAAGCGATGGTCCTCTGCCATCAGCTCCTCTGGGCCGGCCACGTTGTCCGGATGCCCGACCACCGTCTCCCAAAGCAATTGCTCTACTCCAAACTCAAGAACGGAAAACTGAATGTTGTTGGACAGGAAAAGAGATTTAAAGATGGGCTCAAAGCCAACCTTAAAAACTCTGGCATAGACACTGAGAACTGGGAAGCCCTGGCCCTTGAGCGCTCCAGCTGGAGGTCAGCTGTGACCAGCAGTGCTGCAGAATTTGAAGAGGCACGAATGGAGGGGGAAAGAGAGAAACGTGCCAAGAGGAAGGCGCGTCAAGCCAACCCCGACCGGGACCGCCTTCCACCTGGAAACCAATGCCCTCACTGTGGGAGAAGATGCAGATCAAGAATAGGGCTCCACAGCCACATACGGACCCACAAGGAAACCCATCATGGAAGACCATCTTACTCGTCCAACGAGAGATCGCCTAAGTAAGTAAGTAAGTATATTTATTATAAATAAATGCATTTATTATAAATAAATAATAAATGCATTTATAATCATTAATACTTATTAATAAATTATTATTATTAATTTGATAAATTATAATAAAGTATTATTAATATATTAATAAATCAACTTATTATAAATTAATAAATTGACAATAAATCAATAAAAATTATAATAATACAAGCCAAAGCCTTGGGAAAAAGGCGATGCAGGTTTGCAAAGGCCTAGGAATGGCTGGGCTCCATTTCCCAGGCGGACTACACTTCCCATCATCCTGTTTCCCCCCCCCCCAAGCCTTGGGGGGGGGAAGGCGATGCAGGTTTGCAAAGGCCTAAGAATAGCTGGGCTCCATTTCCCAGGCAGACTACACCTCCCATCATCCTGTTTGGGATTGAGGAAAAGCCAAAGCCTTGGAAGAAAGCTAATGCAGGTTTGCAAAGTCCTAGGAATGGCTGGGGTCCATTTCCCAGGTGGACTACACCTCCCATCATCCTGTTTGGGAGGGAGGAAAAGCCAAAGCCTTGGAAGAAAGCTAATGCAGGTTTGCAAAGTCCTAGGAATGGCTGGGGTCCATTTCCCAGGTGGACTACACCTCCCATCATCCTGTTTGGGAGGGAGGAAAAGCCAAAGCCTTGGAGGAAAGGTGATACAGGTTTGCAAAGGCCTAGGAATGTCTGGGCTCCATTTCCCAGGTGAACTACACCTCCCATAATCCTCTTTGGGAGGTTTGCAAAGACCTCCCATCATGCTGTTTGGGAGGGAGGAAAAGCCGAAGCCTTGGGAAAAAAAGACGATGCAGATTTGCAAAGACCTAGGAATGGCTGGGATCCATTTCCAAGGTGGACTACACCTCCCATCATCCTGCATGGGAGGTTTGCAATGGCCTCCCATCATCCTGTTTGGGAGGGAGGAAAAGCCGAAGCCTTGGAAAAAAGACGATACAGGTTTGCAAAGGCCTAGGAATGGCTGGGTGGACTACACCTCCCAACATCCTGCTTGGGAGGTTTGCAATGGCCTCCCATCATCCTATTTGGGAGGGAGGAAAAGCCGAAGCCTTGGGAAAAAAAGGCAGTGCAGGTTTTCAAAGTCCTATGAATGGCTGGGTGGACTACACCTCCCATCATCCTGCTTGGGAGGTTTGCAAAGGCCTCCCATCCTTTTTGGGAGGGAGGAAAAGCCGAAGTTTGGAAAAAAGACGATACAGGTTTGCAAAGTCCTAGGAATGGCTGGGTGGACTACACCTCCCATTATCCTGCTTGGGAGGTTTGCAAAGGCCTCCCATCATCCTGTTTGGGAGGGAGGAAAAGCCAAAGCCTTGGGGAAAAAGACAATGCAGGTTTGCAAAGGCCTAGGAGTGGCTGGGCTCCATTTCCCAGGCAGACTACACCTCCCATCATCCTGGAAGCACAGCTTGGGTCTGTTTTGATTTCTTTGATTTCTCAGGTGACTCATTGCCGCCTCTCGAACCCGTCCCTTTTCCCTGAAGTTGGCAGAACCAGCCCGAACTTGAGGAAGGAAAGAAGGAAGGAGAAACGTCAGCGGGAAATCAATTGCACATTTCCCAGAGAAGCTTAACTTTTTTTTCAAAAAAGCAAAACAAAAAGCCTCGTATCATATGTTTACGGTGGAAAGAATGACTCGGTTGAGTTTCTATTGCTGCTTGGCTAACCGTGACTACAGAGTTTCTGTGATTCTGTTTTCTTTTTGAGCTCCTCTTACAATAATATTCGCTCAGGACGGAATAAAAAAGAAACATGACTCAACAACAACACGTGAATGACACAGATCCACTTCGAAACCAAGAAAGGCGACAGACATACATGGAGAGCGCGTCTACACTGTAGAATGAATGCAGTTTGGTGCCACTTTGAGTGTGACGGGAGCCTGGGACTTGTAGTTTTACTAAGTCAATGTGGATCCATACAATCCAGTCCATAGCAGATAATCTGGATTCAGAAACTGAATTATATGGCAGTGTGGATCCAGCCTAGGACTTTAGACTGGATCAAAAGGCCAAAAGAATCCTGGTGCCTCTTTGAACTACAAATCCCAGGATTCCTTAGCACTGAGCCTTGGATTATATGATCAGGGTAGACCCATATAATGTATTATATGGATTTACCCTGACCATATAATGAATTAAATGGCTCTTCGCTGACCATATAATGTAGTATATGGGTCTTCAATGACCAAATAATGCATTACATGGATTTACGCTGAGCATATAATCCAGTATATAGGTGTATGGTGACCATATAATGCATTACATGGGTCTATGCTGACCGTATAATGCATTATATGGATCAATGCTGGCCACCTAATGCATCACATGGATCTACGCCATCCATATAATGCAATATATTTGTCTATGCTGACCATATAATGCATTATATGGGTCAATGCTGGCCACCTAATGCATTACATGGGTCTACACCACCCATACAATGCAATATATGGGTCTATGCTGGCCATATAATGCATGGGGCTACACTGGCCATATAGTGCATTATGTAGATCTATGCTGGCCATATAATGCAGTATATGCTGAACATATAATGCATTATATGGGTTTATACTGGCCATATAGTGCATTATATAGATCTATGCTGGCCATATAATGCAGTATATGGGTCTATGCTGACCATATAATGCATTACATGGGTCTGCACTGGCCATATAATGCATTATATGGGACTACACTGGCCATATGGGTATATGCATCATATAGATCTATGCTGGCCATATAATGTATTACATGGGTCTACACTGGCCATATAATGCATTACATGAGACTACACTGGCCATATGGGTATATGCATCATATAGATCTATGCTGGCCATATAATGCAGTATATGGGTCTATGCTCACCATATAATGCA